CAGATGACAGATGATCTGTAGGGACGAGGGCTGCAACACAGAAAACTTTGCCATGACATTGTTCACACACACAAAATTTTCCTGTCATTGGACCTTTATGAGAGGAGGCTTGGTGCCCCAGAACACCTTATCTTCTGTCACAATGTTTTGTTTGAGATTATTTTAGATTAAGTGATTGTTCTAAGAAGAAAAACACATATAATTCTGTTATTGTTTGCTTTAATTTGCCTAATTCTCCAAAAGGCTTTCATCTTTGTGTCCTTCACTGACGGTGTGTCTACCAAGTGCACCTGGAGTGTTGGTGTGACAGAATTTCTTCTTTCTGGAGCTTTTCTGAGATCTTTGCTATTTATATTTCTTAACTCACTGAATAATATTGCAGCCAAATTTTTCTCTCATGGGTAGAATAAGGTTCCTTTGCCTTTTGACTGGGTATATTTAGTGAGCTGGTGCTATAACAGGACACAGATGGGTGCTCTGCTGATGAAGCCAAGGGCTTCTGCCACCGTCGGTGCTTCATGAGGGTGAGCAGAGGGTCAGCACAGTGTCCTGCCCTCATCTGCAAACCTGGATGTTGGGTGGCTTTTGAGATAGTTGGCCTCACTAGTTGCTTTTTACTTCCTTCCAAGCAAATTGCAGGTTCTGTTTTGACACGCAGAGACTCATCTGACTCCTGAAGGGGGAAAAAAAGAAAGCGGGGGGGGGGGAAGAATAAGAAAAAAAAAACTCTGGAGAGGACAAGTTTTCAATCTGTGTCTGTTTGAAATTCTTGGCAGGTGAAAAACTCGACAAACTGAGCAACCCCCGAAACATCAAGCCCCCGGTGCCGAAGCTGGGAGGTGCCATGTCCGGGCTCCAGATGCTCCCCGAGTGCACCCGCTGCGCGAACGGCATCGTGTGAGTGTCACCTCTGCCCGTGGGGACAGGGACACAGGGACACGGCTGGGGTCGGGTCCTGCCAGACACGGGGGGTTAGAATTTCTAGCAGAATACCTGGAATTTATAGCAGAAACCTTTTATTTATAGCAGAATACCTTGAATCCCTTTCTGGTTCTTGCTGACTGGGTATATAAGCCTGGAATTGAGGAATACGGTTTGGATTGCCCCTTTTAAGGGAATCTTGCAGCAAAATGGGGATGATTCATGGGATGGTTTCTGCCCTGCTTGTCACAGTAACTGCCTGGGGACTGTGAGCAGCACCGTGAGTGCTCGTAGCCACTCATGGGCTGCTTCCCTTACAGAGGGAGAAACGCTTCGAGGGTCAAGTAGAAGAGGTTTGCGGGTTATTTTTGTTTGTTTGCTGAAGGGTTACTCTCCGAGGGATGGAGTTTGGGTCTGATTTCAGACCTTAGGCCTTTTTCTGCTTCGTTGTGTTGTGATTTATGTTCTGGGGTAATTTACGTCCTGCTGGAGCTGGATCTTCTGGCGGAGGCTCTGCTCCGCAGCCGCCTCTCCCCGTGTCCCTGCTGCTGCTGTGAGCCCAGGGCTGTGCCCCAGCGGCCGTGGTGGCTCCCCATGTTTGGGTCCAGGCTGAGCATAGAGATTTGAGATTCCACTCAGCATCGAGCCCTGGAGTGGTGCCACAGGGGGGTGCAGACAAAAGGGAACACATCATCCCAGCTCTCCTATGAAGACAGGCTGAGAGAGCTGGGGTTGTTCAGCCTGGAGAAGAGAAGGCTCCGGGGAGACCTTATAATGGCCTTTCAATACCTGAAAGGAGCCTACAGAAGAGCTGGAGAGGGACTCTTTACAAAGAAGAGTAGCGACAGGACAAGGGGCAATGGTTTTAAGCTGGTGGAGGGGAGATTTAGGTTAGATACTAGGAAGAAATTCTTTACAGTGAGGGTGGTGAGGCACTGGAACAGGTTGCCCAGGGAGGTCGTGGATGCCCCATCACTGGAGGTGTTCAAGGCCAGGCTGGATGGCTATTTGAGCAGCCTGGTCTAGTGGGAGGTGTCCCTGCCCATGGCAGGGGGGTTGGAACTAGATGATCTTTAAGGTCCCTTCCAACCCAAACCATTCTGTGATTCTATGATCCCTTCCCATGGAAAATGGGAAGGTTGGACGGGGCTTGGAGCAACCTGGTCTGGTGGGAGAAGTCCCTGCCCAGGGCTGGAGGTGGCACTGGGTGGGCTTTAAGGTTCCTTCCAACCCAAACCATCCTGTGATTCTGTGATGGAGCCGCCCTGGAGCAGGGTGGCAGCTTTGGGTGGGCTGAGACGTGACGGGAAGCCGTGATAACACCCTCGCGTGCCCCGACACGCCGCTTCCCTTCGCTTTAATCCCTTTTTACTCAAGCGGGAGAAGCTGTTTGTGCTGGTTGTTCCTCCCTCTCACCCCAGCTCTCCCCCATCTGTCTCTCCCCCAGGGGCACCATCGTCAAAGCTCGGGACAAGCTCTACCACCCCGAGTGCTTCATGTGCGACGACTGCGGGCTCAACCTGAAGCAGAGAGGGTATTTCTTCATCGAGGAGCAGCTGTACTGCGAGACGCACGCCAAGGAGAGGGTTAAGCCCCCCGAGGGATATGACGTGGTGGCTGTTTATCCCAACGCCAAGGTTGAACTGGTCTAAACCCGGGCTGTGCTCTGGAGAGCCCACCCACGTCCTCCCCGCCGGCTGCGCAGTGTGGCTGTCATCAACCCCCACTACCAAAGCCCAAGTTAAAATGCCTTTTTTTTTCCTAGATAAAGCCGTTTACACTTGGGATCTCCGGGGGCTGGTGTTGAAAGCATACGAACAGGTTTTTCCCTTCTTTTTGACACTCTGCTTTTTGGGTTGCTGTGGTGGGTTATTAGTCTGTGCCTTAACCTTATCCAAGATCTGTGTAAATATTGATTAATTCTCTACTTTGTTTCATATAAAACCAGTATTCTTTTTTTTTTTTTTTTTTTTTTTTCCCCTCTTCTTTTCTCAAAAAGCAAGGAAGATGTTTTTAAAACTCCAAGAAAATAAGGCACTTTAACAAAAGAAGCTGACTCCTGTATCCTGACCTTAATCTCCTGCCCTCCAGCTGCCCTGGTGATTAAAAACTGACCCCCGAGGAGCCTGGGGTGCAGTACCAGGGGGTCGGGGTCCCTGGCTCAGCCCCATCCCAGCGGATGTGCCAGGGAAGGGTGGTCTCTTAAAACAGCATTTGCTGTGAAATTCCCTGGATGGGGGCACTGCAGTTTGAGGCTGACACGGATCCGTCCGAGTTCCCCGAGAGATCTCCACACTGAGCGTGTGATGAGGCTTTGCTTTTCCTTCCTTTGCTCCTAATTCAGTTGTTCTGTCATCTAATCACCCGAGCGGCGCCTTCAGAGGACACTGAAACAGGACAGAGCCCACCTCGGCTATTCCCACCTCCCTGCTCCTGCCCCACGGTGGTCCCTGCTTTGGCCATTCTGACTTTTCTTCCCCAGCTTTGGCTGTATTTTTTTAGTCCTTTATTTCTAGAACCCCACCTGTGTCTGCCTCGCAGCGGGGAGGTGTCGATGAAACCCCTTCAGGCCCTTAAAAGAAGGAACTGGAGTGGGGGTGACCCAGCCGTGAGCCCCGGGCCCAGGGGCAGCAGGTTCAGATTTATACCCTCATCCCAAGGCTGCATCTTTGGTCAGGTCCATTGCCCACTTGATTTGCTGGGAAAAGGTTTTTAAGGATCTTGGATGTTGCTTTGTTGGAGAAATGTTTTTTTTTTTCACGTTAGTGTTTGGAGGAGAGAGAGTTTAGTCTCTCTTTCGGTGGTGGTAGGAGCCATGTGTTTGGTACCACAAGGTTATTTCTGTTTCCTCCTCCTCACTTCAGAGAGGGAGGATGGGAGTGACAAAAAGAAATGTCTGTGCTCACTTCCCTTCTGTGGAAGAGCAAAGTAAGAGATGGAGTGATGGCCAAAGCACTTCTTCCCTTTCTGGCTCTACATAACAGGGGTCTGAGAAATCCAGACTGGAGGAGGGTCAGGAGCATTATCCCAGTCGGAGCTGGGCGTGAAATTTCTTCCTACACCCCAGAGGGAGTAAGGATTTTAGGGTGTTACAGGGCCACATCTAGACCCTTTTTCTGTGGTGCCTTAGAGGGATTTAGGCAGCTCCTGCCCTGCCCCAGCAGCGCTGCATCCTGAGCCTGCATCCCAGCTGGGTACCACGGCCGGGGGGATGCTGGCTCTGCACGGTCCTGCCAGCAGCAGAACATCCTCATCATCCTCCCCCTCCTCCTGCCACTGGGATTTTTAGTTTTTAAAGTACAGGAAACACGTGGAGATTTTTATCACAGCGCTGAGCCTGCTTTTTCTTGTATTTGCATGGCCTTGCTCGGTGGGTGGGACCGTCTGATGGGGAGTGTTTGGGACACCTGTAGATGCTGAGGAGACTAACACTGATCAGGTGGGAAGCGTTTCTGCCCTCGTTTGCCGGCCTCTGCTCCCAGCTCTTTGGAAACATTTCTTCTGGATTCCTCCATTAACCTCATGCGTTGCTGGGCGAAGCTCCCCTGCCTGGAGCTTGAAAGTCCAGGTTTCACCCAAGCCCAGGGCTGAACCCAGCTGGGCTGAGCAATGGAAAACTCACGGCAGGAGTGGCACAGGGTGCTTTTCCCACTTCCCGTGGCAGACAGCCCCAGCTGGGGCTGCGTTTCACTCTCTGCAGCTCTTGTCCATCTTTGACTCCATCCGTGCAGCGGTTGTGTCCTGCCCTGGCACAGGGAACACCTTAGAAATTCATTAATTGTTTAATTGCCCTCATTTTGAAGGCCAGAGTGGGCTGCTTGCAGGGCATCCTTGGTCTTGCCCAGCTGTGCACCAGTACAGCACTGGGAGTGCTGGGCACGGGACGTTTCTTTTAAGTTGAAGCCAAGTTCCTACGAACTGACTTTTCTACTCAATTCTCTTGTGACACCTTCCTTAGGAGCAATCAGCTCATTTCATCCCCCTAAAGCTGGACCTGCCTCACACAACCCCCTCCCGGGGCACATGGATTCCTGCCTTCGGGCCACCCCGTTGCCGTGTGGGGTCTGTAGGAGCCGGGAGCCCGCGGTGTCCGTGGGTAACGCTGTTCAACTCTGTACAACGTGGGGAGGGAGCCCTTTGTATGAAATACAAAATAAAACTGTATTGTGGGGTTTATGTCTCACATCACTTTGCGTGGCCTCTGCCTGCACCCCAGCTGGGTCTCTCCCCCCACGTGCGGGGGTCCCTCGGTACCCAGGTGAGGGGATGTTGGATAAACTTTAAAAAGCATCTCGGAGATGGAGGGCTGCGTTTCTCACCACCTCGTGCATGGAGAGCCTTGTTTGAGGTTTGGTCTGTGTTTTGGTGGGGTGTTGGTTGGGTTTATTAATTCCTGAGACCTCACTGGGTCCCTGCTCACGTTGGGCACAGAGATGGGACAGACCATCATGTCTCTGCCCGGTTCATCACCACCCGGGGTGCCCGGCTCCTCTCCATGGCTGTGACCCACCTCATCCTGCTGCAATCCAGAGCTCCCCTGCCCCTGCAGAACACCCCTGGATGGGATTTATTAGCAGCATTTTCCTGGCCACGCTGCTGCTCCAGGGGCACCTTCTCCCACCTGGTGGCCCAGACTCACCAGACCCAGAGCCACAGCTCTGTGGGGCTGGGGGTATCACCTGCCCCATCACCATGAGAGGGATCCAGGCAGTTTCCAGGCTGGAAAACACCCTTTTTCCCAAGGATAATGTAAGCCGTGGTACAGCTGTAAGCAAATAATGCACCTGAAAATCCCTTTGCACAGCCCCAGCTGTGGCACCGCTCCAGCTCCTTCCCCATTAAGTGAGCACTGGGAGCCTGGAGCTGCTGCACCAGCACAGGGAGGGGGCAAAACTGGTCCCAAAAGTCCTGTCCCACCCCCTCACTGCTGCCCCTGGAACCACAGGAACCTGCCAGCAGGTAGGAGCAATGGATCAGGAGGGGGAGGGCAGGCTCCTGGGGTTTAGCAGATATATTGGAGAGGGATGTTTGCTTGTGTAGGTGGATCCTGGTAGCTCTGGTTTTAATGGTTGGTTGGATTTCGATGCACTGGTACATGGGAAAGTCAGAAATAATGTGAGCTAAGTGCCTCCAAAAGGTATTTAATCGAAAAGGCTTTATTTGGAAAGTGTTCATATATGGCAAAAATACTTCAAGGCTCTGAGGATCTGCATGTGGCACAAAAGATTTCCGTACAGCTTGGCTCTGTGCAACTCTGTGCCTAATTAGTGCATGTATTCAAATAATTAACATGCGTATAGCTCTCCAGTTAGTGATTTTTCTGTTCACCCTTGAATGCATACGTATGTTGGATGTGTTTATGTGCTATAGGCACTGTCATCCCAGGCACTTCTGCCCTGGGCACTGCTGCTGTGGGGCTCCAGCCCCATGGCCGAGCTGTGGGGTGATCCCTGGGTGGGAGACTGAGGAGGGGGACACAGGGTCCTCTCCCCATCCCCAAACAGCAGCCACCATCCGACCTGCCCAACCCCAGGAGCCTCCATGGGGCTCCTCACTGCTGTGGAAAACACATCGTGAGATCAAACACGATGAAGGGCACGGTTTATTAACTAAACGAGGCGGGACCGGGGCCAAAGTGATTCAAGTCCTAATTGTTTAAGTTTTTTCCATGTATCATCATTAAAGTTTCCTCCTCAGCCGGGCATTATTTCCCCCACCACACCCCCTTTCTTCTGCTGCTTTTGTTCGGAGTTGTTTAACTTTGCTTTTGTTGTTGGATGGCTGCCCCAGGGACCTTCATAAAAATCTCAGCTGGTCCATTTATATCAGGGTAAAAGTCCTTGTGACACAGGAGGGGGACGCAGAGGGAAAGAGGAACTTTGGAAAAGTTCCCTCTCCTCCCTTTTTCATGTGTGAAAGAGGCTGTTTTAATTACTTCAGGGGGGGGGGAAAATCTTCCCCACGCATATAGTAAAACACACAAAACTGCTCCTGACTGTAAGGGAACTTGTCTGCGGGTTATTTTCCTTCTCTGTGTCTGAGGAAACACCCACGGAGCTCCCCCAGCCCGGGAGCAGCTTCTCGCACGGGGAGGTTTAAATATTCTGAATTTTTACGTAGCCCTAAAGCAGCTCCTTCGTGCGGGGAAAGCTGGGGGGGGACCTCCTGCTTCAGGAGGTTGATTTGCTTGGGGTCACTCTCTCCCTGTGCAAAGACGCCGCTCGAAGGTGCTTCAGGGTTTTAATGAAAATAACTGCTCTTTTTTTTTTGGAAGAAACACCCTAGTTCTTTGCTCCCAAAGTTGATTTGCTCTGGGTCTCTCTCTCCCTGTGCAAAGACGCTGCTCGAATGCGCTTCAGGCTTTTAGTGAAAATAACTGCTCTTTTTTTTTTGAAGAAACACCCTAGTTCTTTGCTCCCAAACCTCAGAGGCACCAGGAGGCCAGGGGCGAGTGGTGGCTGGGGCTCACCTGAGGGACATTGAGCACCATCCTTGGCAAAGCTGGCTGGAGGGGACCTCAGGAGGCCACCTGCTCCCTGCTCCTGTCCCCAGGCATTACCTGCCACCCGTGTCCCTCCCAGGAGGTGTCCAGTCCATCCTCAGGATGGAGACTCCCAGCTCCCCAGCACCGTTCTGGGGTGTTTCCAAAAATATGGAGGGAATCATGGGTGGGTGCAGGATGTGCAGAGGAATGTATGGGATGCATGGGGTAAATATGGTAAATGGGGGTGCCTGGGGGGGCTATATGGGATATGTAGGGGTGCCTTAGGATGCATGGGGGTGCTGAGGTGCACAGGGGCACACAGATTTGTCATAGAATGGTTTGAGTTGGAAGGGACATTAAAGCCCCCCCAGTGGGCAGGGACACCTCCCACCACACCAGGTTGCTCCAAGCCCCCTCCAACCTGCCCTTCAACCCCTCCAGGGATGGGGCAGCCACAGCTTCTCTGGCCAACCTGGGCCAGGCTCTCACCACCCTCACACCAAACAAGTTCTTCCCCACAGCTCAGCTCCATCTCCCCTCTTGCAGGGTCAAACCCTTCCCCATTCTGGGGTGTTTCCAAAAATACAGGGGGGAGCATGGGTGGGTGCAGGATGTGCAGAGGATTGTATGGGATGCGTGGGGTAGATATGGTAAATGGGGGTGCCTGGGGG